TGGACACTAGAGAGGATGCAGCTTTAACACATGAAGCACTGACTTCACTTTTCAGAACCGGAGGTTGCCTCCTAAACACGAGCAGATCTCTGCCGCCAAAAAACCCCATTTGTTATAGCTGTGTTGTTGTAAGGTTAGAGACAGTTGGGCTCAAAGATGCTGAAGAGCCAGAAACAGGTTGTGATAACAAAAAGGAAAAAAAGCTGTTTAAGTTTCCCATAAATCTGCAGAAATACAGGAGTGTTGTGAGATGAGGAGGAAACAATGGGAGAGGGAAATAAAACCCGGAGTTTCCAGGGAAGATCAGGAGGGTTGTCAAGCCTCTGATTCTCATCTACCATCTATTTCCTGTCATAACTCATCACTGCAACAGAAGCCACTTAAATATGACAACCGAGTCGAGTGGGAGGGAGGGGGGTCCACTGAGACGTCCTGTTTGGGTTTTATTGACTGTTACTGTGGGAAATAAAACACCAGCGTTAGCCAAGCTTGCTTTCTTTCTTTCCACCTGAAGAAAAGTTCCTCTGCAGCAAATCTAAGAGAAAATCGAATCGAGTTCTGGAACGACTTTCTCTCTCTTCTGTTTGTTATTCTCCTTCTTCCGGCTCGTTCACCCCCCCCCCCCCTGTGCATATAAACTCCGCCGCGCTCTGTTGCTAACCTCTGTCTGCTCTCTCTTTGTAATGCACACTTCACTAAACACAAACTTTATAATTCCCCCGTTTGCTGCGTTTCTCTCTTCTCCTCGGCAGCTCTCGAAAGTCTCGTCAGCCAGACGCCGCACGCCGTCTGGCTGACGAGACGAACTCCGAGACCGTAAATCTGCAAAACACACGAGAGGCAGCACACATGATCTGTCCGGGGCTGTTAGATGTGCTTCATGTAGAGAGAAGCCAAGCCCCAGGAGATCATGTGGTGCAACAGATTTGTATGTTTGCTGCATGTGCATTTCATTCTTCACGTCTTTTGACATCGATTTCCTAGATACACGCACACACACACACACATACATACATACACACACACACACACACACACTCAGCTTGTCGTCGCCGCTCGTGAGGAGCGAGCAAAGCGCAGATGCGTGAAGCGGTCGCAGTCGGCTTCACGCAGCACTGTGGGAGCTCATTACCGTATTCTGTGGGCCGGAGAAATATCTCGTCAGTGAGGATTCATCAGGAGCCGAACCTGCTGCAGCGGCTCCCGGTCGACGCTGTAATGAGAGGTCCTGCACAATGTGGGCTCCCACGGCGGCTCGGATTGGACAGGTGGAATATGTCTGGTAATCTGGATTAGGGAGGGAGGCTGCGGTCATTAGCGTCACAGAGCATCGCGTTTGCTCACTTCTTTTGTCTGCAGAATAACATTTATTTTATCTTTAGAAGCACCTTTCTGCACACCTGCCCTCTCTAATTGAAGCATTCTTAATTAAGCAGTAGACTCTTCAGGGCGGGATGTTTGGTTCGTCTAACCTGGCTGCTGCTCTGGTCTGAGGGACTCTAATGTTATCTGCAGCTTCCTCTTTGTTGCCGGCTCTCTGTCTGAGCTAAACTGTTTATTTTCTCTTTTTTTCTGCCACTGTTTGGTTTCCCAGAGGCCATTTTGTCTGCTCGTGTCTGTGCGTTCTACAGTTTCTCATCTTAACTCTTTGATGACGGCATCTGCCGTCACAGCAGAATAAGATGCTTCATCTGTCTTTATCTCTGTTGCCCCCCCCCCGTCTACTAACTTCTTATCTCGTGTCTTGCAGACTCGCACACCTCGTGTGACTCGACTCAGCCCGACACAGCCGGCTCTCGCCGACCAGGCCAGCAAGGTTTCCTTCGCGTCGGCGGAAAATCTGGGGACCATGTCGGAGTCCGAAATGCCGATCGGCTTCAACCGGATGAACCGGCTCCGCCAGAGCCTGCCGCTGGCTCGCTCGTCCAGCCAGGCCAAGCTGCGGGCGCCAGGTCAGAATGCTGTCTTTAAGAAAAGGCCTTCACTCTGTGCTACACTGTGACCGCGATGACACACACGGGTTCATCTGTTACACCAGCTACAGTCTCTTAAACTCCTCGTATTCTCTCGTTCTCCTGTTTGTATTAAAAACACCATAAAAGTCATTGAGATTGAGATAAAATCATCAAAATAGAGAAAACAACATTCCATCAGTTCAGTAAAAGCCATGAGAGAAAAGTGAGTCTTCTTAGTTAGCATAGCATTTAGCCGCCCCACTGTAACTGTAGGAGCGACGGGCTTTTCAAGAAAAAATACTATTTTTATAATCACTGGGAACTATTTGACCTCTTCTATTATTAAAGACAAGACGATAATCGAATAAACTCTTTGATTATTTTTACAATCAGTGCGACACGAAATGCGGAACAATAATACGAGAAGTCCTTCGACTAGTTGATTTAATGGAGTTTCTCCACGAAGAGTCGCACAAAATCATCGTTTTGAATCTCGTGTTCACCAGAGATGTGCTCATATGTTTCTTAGGAATCAGTCATTCAGCATGAAAAAAGTATAAAAAACACTAATTGACGAAGAAATCCTCGACATTTGTCACCTAATTGACTGAGAAGGAGCCTAACGAGCGTTTGAAGCTTAAATCGTGATTGAAAGTAAAAGTCGATCAAGCCTTCAGCTCAGAGCCAATCACACGCAGGACGTGTCCGTGCATGTAAACTATTAATCTCCTTTGATGCTGTGGACAAGATGCATTAGCTGTGACTTTACAGCGGCGCTCTCTTACACAGAAGCTCTTTCTTTGAGTTGACTGAAGGCATCAAGTGTTCGTCTGGTTCAGCCCTCTGAGAGTGAAATCACAGACTTGAGTCTATATGAACGCTGAATACAAACAGAGCTGCGTAATGTTTCCAAATGATCTCGCCGAGCTGCCCGTCATCTTTGATTAACGGCTTCGGCGTCTTAATAAAGTGTCTCTCAGGTGATGCGTTTAGAGGCGTTAGAAAAGGTGGGACAAAATGCAATCATTTCTAAAACAGCTCTCAAACGACCGGCAGAATATTGAAGCTTTGGTAATAATATGCTGGTTTAATGCAACTTCTAGGTGAGAAAAAGCTTCTTCTTATAAAGCAACACGTGTTACGAAGGAACAACGGTTTTCTCTTTCTACTCTTCACACGCTGGTGAGAACCAACACTGTTCACGTTGCTGTTGCAGCTTCCAGCTAATATGAGGATGATAATTAAGTGTTGTTTCATGGGACTTTATTTGTTGTCTTAGGTGTGATGCTTCTGATGCTTCTGAGGAGAATGAAGCTACTTCAGGAACAACGTTGTTTAGCAGAAGTAACAAGAAGCGTTTCATGATTTCATTCTAAATGCTGAAGTTTAGATCCTTATATCCGACTATTCGTTCGCTTTATTGAGTTAGAGATTTTAGGTCAGATCGAATATATAGTCTCCTTTTTTGTGCTGTCAGTTGATTATGATCCCAGTCTACAGTGTTTGTTGCATTGGTACCTGTTTATCTGTTTTTATCGAAGAATCTTCACATTCCTCGGCTCCATCCGTTTAAATTAAATACTGAAATCAAGTGTCAGGTTTGTATAAAGCATTGACTTTAGTTTGAAAAGATCAAGAGTTTGAGGGACTGCAACCAAGAGTAGAATAAGTTAGAATAAAAAGTAGTGGTAGTGAGTAAAACGTGAGCCATTAGGCAGCAACATTAATACGAGGGTTACGTATGTAACTAGGGTTCTATGAATTCCGCATGAGCACCGGGGAAGACGGAGCGGAGTGTCCGGGTTAGTTTGAATATGTTCGGAGGTCGTGTTCAAGATTAAATGGGTGTTTAGTTGACTCCTTACACTCTCAATGGGCTTAAAAAGAACAACTAATATTTTGAGGTGAACATTGTCCCTCCACTCTCTATTTCCATCCCTTCCTCCTTCAACCATCGTGGATCTCCCTCATTGCTCCTCCCCATCCATAAATGCAGGGATCTTGTTCCTCCAGCTCGGGGAGGAGACTCGCCGGGTTCACCTGACCCACGAGCTGACCAGCCTGGACACGCTGAGGGCCCTCATCGTGCACATGTTCCCCCAGAGGCTCACCATGGCCATGCTCAGGTACATGGTGGTTATGGGGGTTATGTTTAATAACTAAATCAAAGTGTGTGTTGTGTAGGTTATTGAACTGTCTACGTGCTCATTGATTTCTGAGTTTATCAAATCAATCACAAGGTGAGCTCATTCTCAGACACACTTATAGAAATAATAACTTTTGTAAACAGGAGAATGAAAGCAGGAAAGGACGAAACAAACAGAAACTAATCCATAAAGCCATAGAATCTCATCTTTATAGTCAAAGCCGACACCTGAATTCTCCTCATTGCTTGTGTGAGGAAATATCTAATATCTGCACACATTTTGACATGTTTCAAGTGAGGATAAAACATTTTTTTGACATATTTGTGGAGACGGCGTCTTAAGCTGCGAGCATTCAGGTGGGCGTTTCCTGTGTTTTGTTACTAACCGGAGCTTTTTATAGCTCTGTGAATCCTACGAATGTTGGTCTTTGTTTTTATTTTCATTTATTTGGATCAACCATTAGCTGTAGAGCGAGCAGCAGCTGTTCTTCCTCGGGTCCGACACCACCACACAAACATACTAAACACAGTACAGGGCCGAGCTCCAGTCACTTAAACAGAAAAGAAAGGACTTCTACGGAGAGATGAGATTAAAAACGTCTCATTATTGATCATTGTATGTTACAGATCATTGTATGTTATATGGGATCCTCTACGTTGTATATTGTACGACATAAAACCGTCTAGTTACGAGCTAAGTATCATTAGACAAGGAGAGATGGTGTTCAGGGATCTTTTAACTGCATCGTGTGAGATATAAGAGTTTTTTCCGCCTTATTTACTTATTCATTGGCGATGTATTCTGATGTATTCTGTCTCTCCCTTTGTGTAAGTTAGTTAGCTTAGCATGCTAGCGTTAGCACTGATTCTCTCCGTAGACGTTGCTATTTTGTCCGTGTTATTTCAACACCAGCTGAGTCATCGGCAGTTTCCCCGTACGTCGGCCCGTATTACTCCAAACTCTAACTTTTATTCATATAGCAGCTTTCATGCAGCCTAAAGTGCTTTTAATAATAATTAAAAAAAGAAACAACAACAAATAGAACTTTAACAAGACTAAAACTTACAACAATAAAACCAAAAAATCTGTAAATAATAATCAATAAAGTAAAAGAAACACTTTGAAACTTAAAGCTAAAGCTCTAACATTACTCCATATTTATAGCCAGATTAAAAAGGTCTTTAATTTCTTGTCATTCTCTTATCCAGAGGCAGTGACTTCCACAGGTTTGGGGGCATAACAACAGAAGTTACTTTTAAGGGACATATAGAGAACATTTAAAAGAAAAGCGGTGGAGGATCAATACAATCATTCTCGTGCAGGGAGCAGCCGGGTCAAAGAAACACCGCCAGTTTCTTACTAGAAATGAATTTCAGTTGAAGTCGGAGCTAATGTTACAGTAATAATCACCAACAGGTTTGTATACAGGACAACAAATGGGTAAAAAAATCAATAGGTGTTTTCATCAAGGTGTTTAATTATAGATGATGTGCTCTGAAGCTGCTGGTTGATACGTATGAACTCACATTACGGTTGTCAGCAGGACTCTGTGAACTCAAATTACTCTTTTGATGAATTCAATATGAAGCCGCGTCCAGTTGATTCTCTCATTACGGCGCCTCATTCAGTTCAAAGACCCTCGGTTCCCCCTCCTCCACTGTACTTCACTTATTATTAGCGGGTAATAGCTACTGAGATTGTCTTTTGCATGGGCTATTCATCAGTGTTTGATATTGTGTTTTGATGATTATTGATGTCCAGGTCTCCAAACACAGCGCTGCTGATCAAAGACGAGACTCGTAACGTCTTCTACGAGCTGGAGGACCCGCGGGACGTTCAGGACCGCTGCGTAATCAAGATTTACTGCAAAGAGCCCATCTACGGCACCTACCCCGGACACCAACACCCACACCTGGCTAACGGAGACCTGCGGGTAAGAGTTTGAATCTCTGTGTGGGTGCAAATATGTTTTTTTTGTTTCTATCAATGATGTAGAAAAGTCCGTTAACTGTCGCCAAAGCCGAGTGTTTTTGGTGGAATATACCCCGATTCACCCTCCAGACAATCGGAGAAGAAATCCGGTCCAGGACCTCGGTCGGTATGTTCGGCCCAGATTGTCTGGTAGTATGAGGGGTTTATAGATCCAGTTTTAAACCTTGAGAACCGTTCGCAGCCCCATCGGGACCACAGACTGTAAGTGGACTTAGTCGTCGTGACGTCACCCATTGGTTTGAGGACTGATGTTTTGAAGCCACAAGTTCTGTCATTTGGCTGTCGATATCTTTTTTGCAATCAGCGAGAAGTGACGTAGAGACGCTCTGGTAGAGACCTGTCAATCACCGTGTAGCCCCGCCCTAAAGCATCCCCTGCTTTATGGTCTGTTTGACTCTAAATGGACCATAATGTACTAAATGAACATCATGCTGTATTGAAGAAGACTTGAAACTAGAGATTGAGACCATAAACTCATGTTTACAATGTTTACTGAGGTAATAAATCAAGAGAGAAGTAGAGTCATTTTCTCATAGACTTCTACACAACCAGAGGAGTCGCCCCCTGATGGACAGCAGAGAGAATGCAGGTTAAAGACATGAAGCTTTGACTCGTTAGAACTGGAAGTTGCCTCTTGGGCCGCCCCGATGATTTCACACTTGTTTGATATTTGGCAGAATCTTGATGATATCGGTTATTATTACGTCGAGAGAGAGACAAGTCGGCTACAAGGAGACAGACGTGAGACAGCATTCTACCGTTGACACGCATTAAAATCTCACCTCCAGTTCTCGCTGAAGAATAGACGTCTCCCCAGACATCATCTCATCCAGACTCGACACTTAGCCTTCTGCTTTAGTGTTATGGCCCAACGGCATCACGTGGGGTGCGTTGCTTCCTCTGGCACATTAATCTTAATACCCTGTAGTGTGTGTGTGATGCGCAATTAGTTTTGAGTCCTGTTGTGTGTGTATGTTTGAGATTTGAGAGAGGAACATCTGATTCTCCTCGTATGTGTGTGATGCAACCCAATTTAAAAATCAGTCAGGACTTAAGAACTCCTGCACTCTGAGCCCGGCTTAAGAGGACAGAGGGACGACGTTTTCATCATTACCGACGTCTGACGCGATGCAGGGAAAATGCTCCTGCTTTAGTCACAGTCACCTTTTCCTTCGTTGCCAATTAATTCCCGGTGCAGCTGGTTTCTGACTCATTAATTAGGAAGCGAGACAAACATTGTCTCTTTCTGGCAGACAGCAGCCAAATCATCCCACGAAGAAAACGCTCGGTGACTCTCCTAAAACATAGTTTTCTGTTCTTATTTCACCCCCACGCTGATATCGTTCCCCACATATCACTGATATCATTTCCTTATGTCTTTACAAACGCTAGTTTGCATAAGTTAGTCCCGTCCACTCTCTGAGAGGGAGTCATGTGACCTGTCTTACTCCCGGCACTGCTCTTCCTGGACCGGCGCCAAGTCTTTCACGTCACCGGTGCTGAGTGGGCTGTTTGCCGGCTGACTGTAAATTATAAGATGATATACTGAGGTCCAGTTTATCTGAGGACTGAGTTTGATACACATACAGAGCCGTGGTAGTTCACGGCGCTAGCTGTAGCGTGTAGCAGCAGTGTTTTGAGATGTAGGAGCTGATATATAGACCGCTGATTTCAGCAGGATTTAAAAGGCTGAACTTCTTTACATCTGTTCATGAAGTGGTCGTATAGGTCTGTACTTATGTTCATGAGCACGTCATCCAGAAAGTCTCAGTCGACTAATCGATTAGTTGATTCTCCAAAAATAATCACAAAAAAGCACCACTTCAAATCTTTCGTTTACCAGAAATGTGCCGCACGTTTCTAGTAAATAAGTCATTCAGCATGAAAAATGCATAAAAAAATCATCTGTTAGACAAAAGACATCTTACCGATTAGTCGCCTAAGAGAGGGCAGATGAACCGGTCAACAGCTGCTGTACTTGTATCTGACTCGGTGTACTTTGACGGTTCATTACTGCATTTAAAAGTGTGTGACAGCGATCCCACAGTAATACTCCTCATACTTCACACCAGTCATCTGGAGCGTTAAACGGGCTCTTGTCAGTCCCGTCTCTTCCGTTAACATCTCATCTAGAAATACTAATAATGCTTTTTAATTAGTCATTAATCAAAGAACATAGATATTTACCAGAAGCATTTAAGTGAGTTTGGTTTCTCCACGTCGGTCCTGATGATGCAGGATGACGAGTTACCCGTCAGTCTGTAGAACTTCTTGTCAGTGTGAACAGGAACCGGACCAGAACCCCCCCTGGTTCGGACTAAATGAACCCAACTACAGGAGTGAAAGCCTCTTCATACCTGTGACATCCCTCCTGTTCAGTAGCTGAGCTCTTATTGATGAGCCACAACAGGGATTTTTATCTTAATTCATCAGTCGACATGCTGGCAAATGAAATGTGGCATCAGCCTGATTAGCATGATAACCGATGCTCTGTGCGTTCGGTTACAGCTGGAGCAAAATAAACCAGCGGCTGATGTCACCCGGTCCTGCAGTGTTAGTGTTCCTCTGAACAAGCGCTCGCATTCAGTCGCTGTCTAATTACAGCGTGATTATGCAAATGAGAAAGCTGTAATTTAAAAATTTCAGAGAGAATGCTGCTTTTATAGAATACGATAAATTAGAAACTGGAAAAAATATTACATTATAGAGAAGCAGCAGACATATGCAGTGCATAAAAAATGAATTTGCATGCTATGCAGTGGAGACGAAGCGAGCGTTTTTTCGACAGCGGGGGCATTTTTGACGCGTTTTTCTTGATGTTGCCGTCAATCAAACACCCCGAAGCCTTTTGTTCACATGCTCGTGAGTGTGATTGCTTCTCTGCTTGCAGATTTGCATGATGCACAGCTGCCCGCCAATGTTGTAGAGGTCAGATGTCTCATGTGAGCTCGTCGTCTAAAGCTTGCAGCTCTGAAACCTTTTCCGGCGTTTTACAGCCGTATCAAAAAAAAAACAGGCTTACCTTGAGTTTTTAAGTGTGTGTGTGTGTGAGGTACACTGCAGCTTCTGGCTTTACCAAGGTGAGAGACTAGGACGTGTGTGTGTGTGTGTGTGTGTGTGTGTGTGTGTGTGTACGTGTGTGTGAGAGCGTATTGAACCCCAGCCAGCAAGAGCCAAGATTATTCCCTGATTGCAGCCCACAGAGAACAGGACTACTGCAGTCTGTCCCGGGTCTGGAGGACAGTCTGTGGTTAACGATGAGATTGATTTGGCAGATTTTTTAATCGGCAGGAGAAAAAGTCCGGTTATGAACCTTTCGGGGGTGCCGTACCTGCGACGTCTTGCGACTTCAGGGGCTCCTCGGGTGGAATGAACACGTCTTTGTGTCTTCGGGTTTTGAAAGGATGGCGTCGTTGCTAAGATACAAGGTGGAAGATGATGGCACCGGAGTCATTAGTTTTGCCGCGAGGCCGTTCCGGGGCGCTGCTGTGAGAGGCCTAAGGGTTATTATGTGGAAATATTGGTTTTTCAATTTGCATGGTCTCCAGGAGCCATTACAGTGTTGTCTTCTTTTGTGTCACCCGGCTGTAACTATCACTCTCGGCCGGTTCCTACCAACACTCTCTCCGTTCTGCTCCGCTTTGTTTCATCCTTTCTCTTTGACGTTTTTAAGATTAACGCCAAAAGACAAACCCTTCACGCTCAGCTCCGTCAATAAGCTATCGAGTGCAACTTAAAACGCATTTAAGGGGGCAATTTGGAGTCTTTCCCGTCAATCTATGAGTTGCTGTAACATGTTACAGTGAACGGCACTGGCTCGTTGCAACATTTATTCATTTTTTTTAACTGACTAGTCGCTCCGCCGTTTCTTTTTAAAAGGGACATCTCATAAAAGATTCACTTGTTCAGTGCTTGTGCACATATATTATTATTTATCAACCCACAAACTGTCAAATAAGACAACCCAGTCAGTTTGTTATCGGCTGTTTGGATCAGAAAACATGTGATTCAACAAGCCAATCAATGCAGGCTCGTACATATTATTCTTTTTAGAAATAAGCTCCCATGGTGGTCACCCAAAGGGGGCGGAGCTTCACATCTCTATACCGCCCACCCCCCATATGAGTATCTCCACCCACATTTTGAGAACTACCTTTGAAAAGGTGCCTCGTACTTTTTCACGCAAGCCAATCAGAGCAGACTGGGCTCTGTAGGGAGGGGGGCTCTTAAAGAGACAGGCGCTAAAACGGAGCGTTTCAGACAGAGGGTGATTGCAGGTATATTCACACAGACAGTATGAGAAAAATAAGGTGTTTTTTTTACATTAAACAATGTAAACTTGTTCTAGTAGAAACCCAAAACACAAGTATAAACCTGAAAATGAGCAGGATATGTCTCCTTTAGGTTGTCAATGGTAAAGTGATCATATCACTAATATCAGGGAGAGGGATCCGTCCTAAGAGGTTTCTTTCATTTATTCCCTGTTAAAGGGATGTTTGGGGATTTTCTTTCCTGATCTGAAATGAGGGCAGAATAGGACGAAGGTTGTCGTTTGCTGTCCTGAGTTTGTGACTTTGGGCTGTATAAAGAAATGTGTAAATGTAAATAACAAAGCCGATTCTATATTATATATAGAAAAAGAAGAGATGAATGGAAGAATAGATTAAATCCCAATAATCCATTCACATCAGGCTTAAACACTGGCACGCTACTAATGTGTCTTCAACAAATTCTAAATGAATATAATTTGACTTAATCACATGATCAGTCGTGCAATCACATCGTTAAACAGAGTCTGTATTTGCACCTCATGTTGCTTGTTTTGTAAAACTATTTACATGCAAACCCGCTGTGGACACTTAGCCGCTCGGAAACGCTCCAGTTAATTACACTTCCTGTTAACTTATGTGCCCTCACATGTGTGTGTGTGTGTGTGTGTGTGTGCGTGTGTGTGTGTGTGTGTGTGTGTGTGTGTGTGTGTGTGTGGGGATGATGTGTTATCTCGTTGTTATCTGGATAAACAGGAGCTGCAAGAGCAATTTAGTTTGATTTATTGCCGCCAAAATTCTTGGCTGTAACGGACCAAAATCATAAGTGTTGCAAAACTCCATGTTCTCATGTTTATAAATGATCTTTTGATGATCAGTGTCATCAATAAACGTCTGTCCTTCTACAGAATTTAGAAGTAATGAGAGGAATCATTTAGGATAAACGAGTTTATTAAATTCTTTCACTAAAAGTCTAAAAGTACAAACAAAGAATAAGTTCTTTGTCCAGTTAAAACTGATTCAACACTCCGAGATACTTGATGATGATAATCATAATAACAATAGTTTTAATAATAATACATTTCTTTTGAATAGGGCTTTAAAAGGTACTCAAAGACACTTTACTTGGTAAAAACAGAAACAGTAAAAGCGACACAAACAATAACATGACATGACTAGAATCCCAGTGTAAAAGAGGATTTAAACAGGTGGGTTGTTGTTGTTGTTGTTGTTGTTTGCTCACAGAGGGAGATGGTGTACGCTCCTCAGGACTCTTCACCAAACCGCCGCCTCAGCAACCCTCACATGTCTTCCCAGCATTCGTCTTCCTCCGCCTCCCCTCAGGGCTCGCCGTCCCGCGCCCGCCTCCTCTACAGTGGCGGCAGGCCCTCCTCCTATGCCGGGCCCCCCCACCACATCCACTCCCTGCCGCACCCCCACCAGCAGCCGCACTCCCAGTCCCACCACTCCTCCCCCCACCACCAGCAGCAGCAGCAGCAGCAGCAGCAGCAGCAGCAGCAGCAGCTCCAGCAGCAGCAGCAGCAGCTCCAGCAGCAGCAGCAGCAGCTCCACCAGCCCCATCATGCCCAGCAGGCCTTCTGCGCCTCCTCCAGCGCCATCCTGGAGCGCCGGGACGTGAAGCCCGACGACGAGGTGGGGGGATCCAGGAGCATGGTGCTGCTGCGGGGGGACGAACGTGGGATCTACGCGGACCCCTACTCTCTGGGCCCGGACACAAGTCGGCTGAGTCTGGCAGGAGGTCCTCACTCTCCTCTACCAGCCAGAGCTGACCCCTATGGCTCCTTATATCGCCGTGGAGGAGGGGGAGGAGGCGGAGGAGGAGGAGGAGGAGGAGGAGGTGCTGGAGCGATGCGTTCCCTCACCTCCTATACAGCGGCCGCTTTACAAGGAGAGCTGATGGAAAGCGGTGCTCTCTACAGACCGGGAGGACCGCTTTACAACGACTCCTACGCTGCGTCCATGTTGGCCATGGGGCTGCGGGTTCCTCCGCCGTCCTCCCCGCAGAAGATCCCCGACATGAGGGAGTCCTACGCGGGCACCATGCCCGGTCGGGGCTCCCCGGGGAGGCAGAGTTTGAGAAGGGACTCCGTGACCTCCTCTGTGTTCGGGGACAGTCCCAAAGCCCGGGGCCAGAACCCGGGGTTGGGTCTCACCTCGGAGCAGCTCTGCCTAATGGCCGGGCCCGGAGGGGAGGGGGGCGGACCCGGAGTCTTCGGATCGCCTCTGCTGGGAAACGAAACCGAGACTAGGTAGGACGTAGTTCTCAACTAACACTTCTGCGTGCACGGTGTTCCTCACACGAGGACCACTGAAGTAACACATTATAGTTATAGTGTACTGTGTGTTTGTTTAGCTAGATATTCACAATAACACAGTATTTATACATTTAAGTGACAGATTTGAAAATGAATAGTTTCATTCACCCATAAATGTTGAACTAAGCTCGTACAAATGGCTCTTAAGAGGAGGACGTAGGAGGAGCACTGGGAGAGATCAGCAGTCGTTACGACGCGTTACGTATTCATGTTACAGTCTCCTCCGTGTCTCTGGTGTGAATCCAGGGAGCGTATGGAGGCCATGGAGAAGCAGATAGCCAGTCTGACGGGGCTGCTGCAGAGAGTACTGAGCAGAGCGCCTGAGGCAGACAGCCCGTAAGAGACACTCACACACACACACACACACACACACACACACACGTGCACACACACGCACAGATACAGTATGTGAAAACACACTGTATAAAGAGACACGTTGGCTTCAACACACACAAAGTGTTCAAAACAATCTCTATTTTCTACCTAGTGCACTATTTACTGTATACTTTATATATCATTTTATACTATATAATATAATATAATATTTATACAACACACTTATGTCACAATACAGACCTTTTGCAATTTTAAGCATTTTTGGATGTATATGCTGAGTATGACAACAAGTGTGATAACGTACATTTACACAGAAACATTTGGGCTTGAAGATGGAACGTACAAACACGTGAAAGCAGAGATTATATCATCTATTCATCAAACATTAAAGTGTATTTAGTCGATAGATCATTTGACAAATAACTTAAATGAGTCAAAAGCCTGGAAGACGTTTGAATCAGGGAGTAAAAAGTATTAAATAAATGCACATCATTGGACGTGATATGTCCCGTTCGTATTTACACCACATCGACCCCTCACAGTCTCTCACACTCAACCACTTAACAGGTGACGTCATATACGTCCCTGAGGGTTCAGGGTTCAAGGCCTTAGGGCAGGGGTCGGCAACCTGCGGCTCGCGAGCCGCATGCGGTTCTTTAGCCTCTCTGTTGCAGCTCCCTGAGGTCCCCAACTGGCGCACCGGATCCGGACCCAGGAACTAAAAACCGATAGATAATTCGGAATTCTACATATTGGGCACCGAGTTGAAACTTTAACCGGCGCCTCTTATTCAGCCGTTACGGCACTTGTTCGGTGGTGCAGGAAACACACCGACCAATGCATTGCAAATCACATCACGCGATGCAGCTCAGCCAATCAAACATGAGTATTCTGACAAGTTTCCTGACTCGATCGAGGTTTACACACACGTGACACACGGGGAGAGACGAGGAAATAGAAAGAAGAGCAGGAGAATTGCGCTAATCGAAGAAGTTATCTCACATGACTCTCTCCAAAAAGAGAAACGTGCTCAGAGAGAATATAAGTTCTAAGCAAGAATGAACAGAATCTTATATGTTAATTATTCCCACAGGCAGTTAAATCCTCTACTCCTGTCAAGCGCTTTTCCCTACAGGCGGCTAGTCATGATGTTCAGACCCCCGCCCTCTGTAAACTATCAATGCATTAATCCAAAAAAAGAAAAGTCACGGAGGAAAATAGAGAGTTTAACTCTGCGTGGACGTCTTCATTTGCTTTCACTGCCAACGATGCTGACTTACTGTATGCTTCCACAACAAGCACACAGCATTTCATGAAAAGTGTCACGCTGGAGATGAGCGACAAAGAGCGATTTCTCAGCTGCTGCAGCAAACTCTCCTCTTCATAAGAGTTTGATATTGTTCTAACAGGTAAAATTGCAATAAAATGTCAAGAGTTGTCTTTATTCTTGTTCTATATTTTCATAAATACAACAAACTATAGTTTTTGTATATATAATGTAACTATATATAACACTTTATAAGCTGTGATATCAAATAGCTTTTGCGGCTCCAGACTAATTTTATTTGGTGGAAAATAGGAGAAAACGTCTCTTTGGATAGTAAAGGTTGCCGACCCCTGAACTAGGGGGGCGTGTGGGACTGGGCCTGAATCTTTGACGGAAAAATCTATTTTTACCAAAAGATTTTTATTTTTATTTGCTAAATTTATAGTTTACAATAAAAGTTTGACACCACAAAACTTTAGACCCGCAAAATATCACAATACTATGTTGTATCGATACAACAGTACTGTATAAACTGCCCTCAAAGCTAAGAACACATGTAACATACTGACTTTAGCTGCACATGTGAATTACTGCTCAGCAACACGTCTGTTGTGTTTTAGTGTTTTAATGATTGTGATTCATGTCTGGAATCTTAATTTCCCGTCCACTGCCGTTGATCACGTAGCGAACAAGTGATTCCAGACTCAAACACGCAGCTTCACACGCTTCACACACTTCACACGCTTCACACGCTTCACACGCTTCACACGCTTCACACACTTCTCCTGCACACATGAACAGCTTCTCAGTAGCTCGGTGGATATTGTTCTCCGGCCATAAGTACTTCACCGCTTGCCTCTTCCAGGGAGAAGATGGAGTCGGCCAGTGACTGCTCAGGAACTGACAGTAAGTGCTCCCTACCAAGACCAACTCTACCCAATCAAGGCCTGTCACTGCCCCCCCCCCCCCCCTCTGCTGCCTGTTTGATAGCCACATGAATTGTCTCTTCTTCCTCACAGAAGCTGCCACTATTTCATTTCTCTCTGCATAATTCTTAAAAGTGCCTCACATGTGATGGTAATGGCTGACTCTGCAAAGCTTCTTCATGCCGTGTGTGTGTGTGTGTGTGTGTGCGCTTGCGTGTGTGTATGTGCGTGTGTGTGTGTGTGTGTGCGTGCGTGCGTGCGTGTGTGTGCCGGCTCTCGTGCTGCTGTGTAACTGCTGCTCATGCTTCTTGTTTTAGCTGGACGAACTAAAAAAAAGAAAGGTAGCTATGTGTTCCTGAAGTGTCTGCTACCCGTTTCCTCCGTCTACCCC